CACACACACACACACACACACACACACACACACACACACACACACACACACACACACACACACACACACACACACACCCCATTTGGCCAAGTTTACCAGCACTCCATTTGTTGAATTTCTTCTGTGTGCTGGCCCCCTAAGCTTCCCCTTGGAGATGTATTGACTCCCCCCAGGGCACCCTGGGGTTGGAACACAGCCAGCTCTGTGCTGCTCCCTTGGGAAACTTGCCCAGCTGCCATTCTTTTTTGCCAGCCCTGGGGCTTGAACCCAGGGCCTGGGCGCTGTCCCTGAGCTTCTTTTGCTCAAGGCTAGCACTCTCCCACTTGAGCCGCAGTGTCACTTGCAGTTTTTTCTATGTATGTGGCACTGAGGAATCGCACTCAGGGCTTCATGCAGGCCAGGCAAGCACTCCACCACTAGGCCACCTTCCCAGCCCTCTGTGGAGAGCTGCTGAGTCCTTCCTTCCCTCCCACAGCCCTGTCTTCCACTTCAGTGTCCAGTGGCCTCCAGTTGTCCAGGACCTGCAGAGGGGCTGGTGGTGGGTTTTCTGTTGTACTGGACATAAAAACCCAGGCTGCCATGGCGTGTTTTGAACAGGGCGAGTTTCATAAGTGTGCTCTCTGTACAAGGGGTTTTTTGAATTTCGAGAGCGTTCAGGCCTGTTTCCATGAGCTGGCAGCGAGGGCCGGTCTCATTGAAACCAGAGTCTGCTTTCTTGACATTCTTCTAGTATTTGACTTTCCATTGCTGTCAGTGTGTTTTTTTTCCTGTAAACCTTCATATAAGCAGGGTTGTTTTTTTTTTAATTTTTTTTTTTACAAAAAAGAAAGACGGACAGCAATTCCCTTAAGAGGTTAGGCCTGGTGCCGGGTGCTAGTGCCTTGGCTCCCACCTGTAATCTCAGCCATTTGGGAGGCTGAGATCTGAGGATCCCAGTTTGAAGCCAACATGGGCAGAAAAGTCTGTGAGACTCATATCTCCAACTGACCACCAGAAAAGCCATAAGTGGAGGAGTGGCTCAAGTGGTAGAGCACCAGGCTGGAGCAAAAAGGCTCAGGGACTGCATCTAGGCCTCGAGTTCAAGTCCCAGTACTGGCACATACAGAAAAGAAATTGGACCTACAAGAGACAGATGCGGGACATGCCAGCCTGGCCAGTTTGAGGTCCTCATGTCTTGAGATGGGGTGTTTAGGTTTGGTGGGCGGTAGTGCAGACTGGGTGAGCGAGCATGCAGCACAGCGCAGGTGAACCTGGTCTGAGAAGGGCAGATGTCTGTCCTGTCAGTGGGCACAGAGGAGCCACCATGGTTGGTTGCTGCTCTGTCTGAGCACACCCCGTCCGAGCGCTCTCGAGCTTTCAGACAAATGTCACATCTGTAAAGACAGAGTGACCAGTTCTCTGGGGAGAACTTTTACATGCTGGTGCTGGGGTTTGAATGCGGGACTTGGTGCTGTTGCTTAGCTTTTTGTTGTTGTTGTTGTTGGTTGTGGGGCTTAAAGTCTGGGCCTGGGTGCTGTCCCTCAGCTCTACAGATTAAGGCTAGTGCTCTACCACTTGAGCCACAGCGCCACTGCTGGTTTTCTGGTGATTGATTGAAGGTAAGAGTCTCAGAGATTTTCCTGCCTGGGCTGGCTTTGAACCGTGATCCTCATATCTCAGCCTCTTGAGTAGCTAGGATTACAGGTGTGAGCCACCGACTTGGGCCAGGCACTGTCCCTGAGCTTCTTTTGCTCAAGGCTAGCAACGCTACTACTTGAGCCACAGCGCCACTTCTAGCTTTTTCTGTGTATGTAGTACTGAAGAATTGAACCCAGGGTTTCATGCATGCTATGTAAGCACTCTACCACTGAGCCACATTCCGAGCCCTTGCTTAGCTTTTTTGCTTAAGGTTGGTTCTCCACCACTTGAGTCATGCTGCTACTTTTGGCTTTTTGTTGGTTAATTGGAGATAAGAATCGGGGCTGGGAAAGTGGCACAGTGGTAGAGTGTTTGCCTTACATGCATGAGGCCCTGGGTTTGATTCCTCAGCACCACATAAGCAAAAAGAAAAAAGCCAGGAGTAGCGGTGTGGCTCAAGCGGTAGAGCGCTAGCCTTGAGCTGGAGAGCTGAGGGACAGCGCCCAGGCCCAGAGTTCAGGCCCCACAACCAGGCCAAAAAAAAAAAAAAAAGAAGAATATTAGGGATTTTTTTCCTCCCCTGGGCTGGCTTCCAATGGCGATCATCAGTCCTCAACAGAGGAGGAATTGCACCTCAGGAGAGTGACAGAAATGGAAGGGACCAAGCTTTTTTTTTTTTCTTGTCTGTCGTGGGGCCTGAACTCTGGGCCTGGGTGCTGTCCCTCAGCTCTTCAACTCAAGGCGAGCGCTCTACCACTTGAGCCACAGCGCCACTTCCGGCTTTTTTTTTCTTTTTGCTTATGTGGTGCTGAGGAATCGAACCCAGGGCCTCATGCATACAAGACAAGCACTCTACCACTGAGCCACCTTCCCAGCCCAGGGACCAAGCTCTGAACCACACATCAGCATCAGTGCTCTTGGGGCTTCAGGGAAGCTGTGTACTTGACCCAGAATCACTGTGGTACAGTGTGTCCTGAACTCTGGCCCCTGGAGCCCAGAGTGAGTTTCCAGTAAGAATGCGGTTATTCCAAAAGCTAGAGGAGCAGGCTGAAGCAACCATCGGAAGGGGAAAGCCCTGAGGCAATCTGACCTCTAGCACTTGTTGAGATTTGTTTTGGATTGTTATCAAAGTATTTATGGGCTGTGATGGGAACAGAATTTTCTAGATTCTCCTTTTACCTTTGTGTGATTCTACACTCATTTCTGAGAGCCCGCCTCCAATGCTGGTTTTCTCTCATGTGATGGAATGCCACCCTGTTGGCACCCTGGGTTTTGCTGGCACCTACTATGTGCAAGGGGTGTCCTGGGCACTTGACCTTGGCAATTTCTTTTTCTGGACCTGGGGCTTGAACTCAGGGCCTGGGTGCTGTGCCTGAGCTGCTTCAGCTCAAGGCTAGCATTCTACCACTTGAGCCACAGAACCACTTCCGGCTTTTTCTGTGTATGTGGAACTGAGGAATTGAACCCAGGGCTTCATGAATGCTAGGCAAGCACTCTACCACTAGGCCACCTTCCCAGTCCTTGTTTTTGTTTTTTGTTTTCCTGCCCCAGGCTCCTTCAGGTACTTGTGACTGCTGTGAACTCCTGTTGGAAACTTAGTGCCAAGTTCTGAGCGCTGAGTTCTTCCAAAGCCCGCCAGGAGTGCATATAGCTCATTCACACTGCAGCCGGGTTGATATTTTATCTTATTGGTTGGTTGGTTGGTCAGCTTGCAGTGAATGTGTCTTCTAGGATTCAGGTGCGGCTGGTTTTCTGAGCTGTAAAAAGCAGAGAGCACATTCTAGAAACTTCTTTGCTGGCCTGTCAGATGCCTCTAGTGATTTGCCAGGGCAGTGTGCACACCTGTCTACGTAGGCTGGGCCTCCTTAAGACTGTGTGTCCCAGACCAGACACCACATTACACGCCTGTAATCCCAGCTACTCAGGAGGCTGAGATCTGAAGATCATGATCTGAAGCTAGCCTGGGCAGAAAAGTCCGTGAGATTCTTCTGTTGATTGTGGGGTTTGAACGCAGGGCCTGGGTGTTATCCCTGAGCAGCTCAAGGTTAGTGCTCTACCACTTTGAACCACAGCTCTACTTCCTGTTTTCTGGTGATTAATCGGAGATAAGAATCTGTGGACTAGCAGGGCTCCGGTGGCTCACGCCTGTAATCCTAGCTACTCAGGAAGCTGAGATCTGAGGATCTTGGTTCA